CTATATTTAAAGAAACAAAAAAAACCTTCGCTCTTTCCCGTCATTATCCAAAAGTCATAACGGAGATTGTCTGTTGTAATAGCACCCAAAAGCGTTGGGGATATCCCATCTACCAAACAAAATCCAGAAAGCAGATGTGAAACCAGTTAGCAGTTGTGGAAAATTCATTAAGGGTACAGAGTTGAGTGCTTACACCCACAATGTCTCAACTCTTACCGCCTTCCGCTGTCTGCAGCCAGTTGTGGGAAGGCAGTTACCCTTAAAAGGATGTAATAAAGTCAATACACACACACACATTTGAAACAGCCAATCTGGGTAAACATGTATGTGTGTACATAATCATTTAGTCCAATGAACACTCATTTGTATCACCCTGGTTTGGAATGAACAGTCAAACAATAACCACGTGTTTACACATTTACCTCACGTGTTATTAAACAGTACTGTTTTGAACCTAATACTTTTTGTGTGTGAAAAAACGTCATTATTTTTTGGGAGGGAAATACAGGGACCCTGCCCTCACCTTACATGGGTGGGGCATATCTATGCTAAGTGATTGACCAATTAAGAAATGTTTTATTGCCCCCTTATTCTCCAGCACCTGAATCTTGAAGATTGCCGACTTCAAGCAAAACAACAATAGACTTGGCAGTGATTAAGGTGTTGAACCAGGGGTGGTCAGGAATTCAGGTATTCCTTTTCACCCCGTTCATGGTTAAGGTGTTGTTTTTGCATCAGGTGGAGAGGTTTTGGTCAACTTGTTTTGGTTGGTTGGTGTTGTGAGGGAGACGACAAAAGCAGAGGAGAATTGTCGCAGAAGTATCGTAAACGTTTTCGTAGGCTGTTTCGGAAGTTTACGTCTGACCCAACGAAGCGAATATCGAGAAAAGGAGAGTGACGCATGTCCGCAACTGTGGTTGAAAGCGTTTCGCCTCACAGACATACCAACTATAAGACTGCAAATAACAACAGTTTTTACAAACGGGGTGAGATATGGTAAATTTCTACAAAGTATTGTAGTAATTAGTACAATAAACAGATTCTATACGATACGGAGCGATGATGATTTGTAGAATAAAAAATTCATATAATAATCTGAAATCCGCTAATAAAAGAAATGAAAACTAAAGAGAAAATTTTTAAATGAAAATTTGACATTAACATTGAAAGTGAAGTACGTTTTTAAAAAGAGAGTTAGGTTCCTGGAGGAGCAGTCACGGATGGGGGTTGATGGAGAGTTGGTCGTTGAGAATGGACTGAATGAGCTCAATATGATGGGGACGAATCGCTAGTCAGGTGAGTCCGTTGATCAGGTAGACTCTGGGTGGTGTAACTTGAAGGTGGCTTGTTTGTTTGTGTGAGTGTTTGGAAAATGTGGTAAGGGAAGGTGTATTTACGCCTGAAATCCGGGGTTTCAGATAGTTGGAGGAATTTTGCAGAAAGGTTATTAACTTGTTCTGTTTTCTTATAGTATGCTGTGGCGAGGTCGGTAAATCTTTATTTAAATGTCCTTAGCCTGCTTATTTTGTTCAGGTAAAATGAAGGGGTGTGTATATATATAGGTAAGCGGTGGGCGATTTTGATTGCTTTGGATTGCATGGACTCTAGCTTTATGTATAAATGCTGTGGCGGGTTAAAAGTGAGAGGATTAGAATATTAAATGATTGGTCTAATGTACATCGCATCGTTTTGCATATCCTCCCATTTCCTTAAGGTAGTTGATACTTTGTGTGGCTCTCGTGAGCGTATTGTGTATGTGGGTTCCATACTGACCTCAAAAGAAGGCAAGACTCAATATAAAAGGGAACATCTCACGTTTCCCATAATGCCCCAAATGAAGAACACTTTTCTCCATTTTGCGCCTGCTCCTTTAAATTGAATATTTTAAGCTTAACTTCGTCTGGTGATATTATACGTCAAAACTATCCCCTCTTCAGTGTCGGAATGAAACCTTCAATTAAACGTATTTATATTAAAAATTACTAATGAAAACAAAGTGCCCTGTACATTTTATGAACCATGTAAATATACCCCCCCCCCCTTCAAATGAGGAGGCTAGGACTACAACATGGCTGTTTAAAACCGGTATTAAAACCGAATAGAGCAACCTTTTTGAAATCTGATTCTTGATTTCAACTTTTGTGCGAAATTATCTTTCTAAGAATGAAAATTGTTTAAACAGTAGATATTTGGTTAAGACTTAACCCCCCCCCCCCATCATCCCTCTTCCCTTACCTGGCTCCACTCCGAAGTTCTCCAAGATCCGCAAGGTGTAGAATTACACACTTCGTGATTTGTGGGTCGAGACGTCTTGTCACAGGAAGGTTCCGGAAGTTCTACGTCATTGCGAAAGTCATGGCACGTGACATAACGGGTTCTCGTTCCTTCACCGCAAGTGGCTGAGCACTAAAATAAAAAATAATTTTTAGAACTTTCACGCAAAGTTACAAAAAAAAACTATCTGTGCATAGCTGTCCCTACTTTTCAACCGATAGAGGGAAGGGAGATAGTAAACTGCACCCACCGCCAACTCTTTGGGCTACTCTAATCGAATAGTGGGGTTTGACCGTCACTCTTACAGTGAACACACACGGCCCCGAAAATGCGGCAACGGCTTGTGAACCATATTCACAGCTAGGGTACGTTACCCTGTAGGTCAAAAGAACCATGAACCATATTTCCAGCTCGGGTACGTTACCCTGTAGGTCAAAAGAACCATGAACCATATTTCCAGCTCGGGTACGTTACCCTGTAGGTCAAAAGAACCATGAACCATATTTCCAGCTCGGGTACGTTACCCTGTAGGTCAAAAGAACCATGAACCATATTCACAGCTCGGGCACGTTACCCTGTAGGTCAAAAGAACCATCAATCATCACATTCATAGTTCAAGCATACCGATCACTATATCACGCCCAAACAACACATTTAGAGTTGGATGCATGTAGCTAGAAGTCTGGACACATACACAGATAGTACAACACAAAGACCTGGACACATACACAGATAGTACAACACAAAGACCTGGACACATACACAGATAGTACAACACATAGACCTGGACACATACACAGATAGTACAACACATAGACCTGGACACATACACAGATAGCACAACACAAAGACCTGGACACATACACAGATAGTACAACACATAGACCTGGACACATACACAGATAGCACAACACAAAGACCTGGACACATACACAGATAGTACAACACATAGACCTGGACACATACACAGATAGCATGTGTTGTACTATCTGTGTATGTGTCCAGGTCTATGTGTTGTACTATCTGTGTATGTGTCCAGGTCTTTGTGTTGTACTATCTGTGTATGTGTCCAGGTCTATGTGTTGTACTATCTGTGTATGTGTCCAGGTCTTTGTGTTGTACTATCTGTGTATGTGTCCAGGTCTATGTGTTGTACTATCTGTGTATGTGTCCAGGTCTATGTGTTGTACTATCTGTGTATGTGTCCAGGTCTATGTGTTGTGCTATCTGTGTATGTGTCCAGGTCTATGTGTTGTACTATCTGTGTATGTGTCCAGGTCTATGTGTTGTACTATCTGTGTAGGTGTCCAGGTCTATGTGTTGTACTATCTGTGTAGGTGTCCAGGTCTTTGTGTTTTACTATCTACGTATGTGTCCAGGTCTTTGTGTTGTACTATCTGTGTATGTGTCCAGGTCTATGTGTTGTACTATCTGTGTATGTGTCCAGGTCTTTGTGTTGTAGACCTGGACACATACACAGATAGTACAACACATAGACCTGGACACATACACAGATAGTACAACACAAAGACCTGGCCACATACGTAGATAGTACAACATAAAGACCTGGACACATACACAGATAGTACAACACAAAGACCTGGACACATACGTAGATAGCACAACACAAAGACCTGGACACATACGTAGATAGCACAACACAAAGACCTGGACACATACGTAGATAGCACAACACATAGACCTGGACACCTACACAGATAGTACAACACATAGATCAGGACATACACACAGATAGTACAACACATAGATCAGGACATACACACAGATAGTACAACACATAGATCAGGACATACACACAGATAGTACAACACATAGATCAGGACATATACACAGATATTACAGCACAAAGATCAGGACATATACACAGATATTACAGCACATAGACCAGAACATATACATATATAATACAACATATAGATCAGGACATATACACAGATAACACAACACATAGACCTGAACATATACATAGACAACACATAAACCTGAACATATACATAGATAATACAACACATAGATCAGGACATACACACAGAAAGAACAAATATTGGAATTTTTGTTTGAATAAACTTTTCTAGAGCACCAGTGTTAAGAAAGAAATACAGGTAACGAAATATTCGCCGGGTAAGATTTTTATCTTTAATGTCAGCGAGTCTATCAATATTGAGTGTAGAGTTACAAACCTCTGCCCATTCTCCGGTCATCCACTCTGGACAAGAATCGGTATTGCATTCCTGCCTTGTTATCTTTCCCGTTAATTCACATCGAGATTCAGAAAGATTTTGCCCGTCAGGATCCACACAGGTGGCACTTCTTGTTTTTTCACCACCTCCGCAAGATTTCGAGCACTAAAGCGAAGAAGAAATAACTGTCTATTAAAAACACTGTAAAGTGTGAGAATACAACAAAAAAAATTCTAATCTATTTTCTGAACGACGAAATGCAAAATAAAAACCTGCGTTTTAGAAACCTAAAACAGTTATCACAACGCCCAACATTTCAATTTTCAAAAGTTAATAATATTTTTCTTCTTAAACTCAGTTTAGTTTCAATAAAAAGTATCAACAAAACACGTTTTTTTTCAATAAAAAAGTATCAACCAGAACACGTTTTTTTTCAATAAAAAAGTATCAACCAGAACACGTTTTTTTTCAATAAAAAAGTAATCAACCAGAACACGTTTTTTTTCTAATAAAAAAGTATCAACCAGAACACGTTTTTTTTCAATAAAAAAGTATCAACCAGAACACGTTTTTTTTTCAATAAAAAGTAATTTTTTATCCTTTCTTTTATTAGAATATAATTTTGTTTAAGAACTTCCTAAAAACCTCCGAATTCAGGTAGAAATATTTTTTCTATCTAATCGAAAATACGTTTGCTGAACTAGTTTTTGTAACGTTACATAAATACACGTCTGTAATTTGGAGGAAAGGTTAAAATATAGTAACACGTTGTTTTTATTAAAAGGAATAAATCCAACAGGTAGCGACACTGGTGTGTAGGTTTAAAATGGAAATTGTAGAATGTAATGTGGAAAGTTAGAGTATTTTTCAATATTATGCAGATACGTTCGTTTTTTGTAAGATTAACCCTAAAATAATTAGTTATCCACGATATTGTTTATAGGTCCATGACTTTGTTGGTTAGAGGATTCCTAACAAATACGAATTACACATACACACACAAATGATCAATATTGAATTATCTCATCAATTCACTGATGGGATTCTTTATGTTTTTTACATTGTAAATCAGTGATGTCAGTTTATATAATGAGCATTGTAGCCGGTAAAAACATAAAATTTACTCAATATGTGGCGCCCTCTACCGTACCAAACGGTATTATGATGAGATATGTGGCTCACTACCGATACCGGACGGTAATATGATGTAGTACGTGGCCCTCTAACGGAGGGTATGTAAACACGTCGCTAACTTGCGGGTTAAAAAAGTGAGAATACCTACTTCCGACCAATTTCCAAATATCCAGTGAGACTTGGGACAACTTCCTTCACACTGTTCGGAGTCACGTGGTTTATCAACAAGGTGGTCACAGAATTGGGTGTTAACCTGTTGTGCTGTGTTGTTGGTAAACTCCTGAAGGCACTTAACATCTCGCTGTCTAGTGCCTGGACCACACTGCTCAGAGCATTCTGTTATTACGGTGAAGTTCCATCTACGTTCAAAATACGAGAACCAAGAATTGGTTTCAAAGTACTAGTTACAACAACGTATCAACAGCTCTGAAACACATGCATTGTTTAGATAAACACTGAAAATAGTAGGATGTAAACTGTTTAAGTTCAATTAGATATCATTACAGTTTTAAAAAATAAAGCAATAACGATATGTCCAGAATAGCTAAAACATTATGTAAATACGTGCCAACAGATGGCAGGCCAACATACATAAAAGGACATAGTGGTTACAATTAATTAAAATGTAGACAGCTTGGACGATTTCATTAAACTGAAATAATTAAAAACATACCGGCTAAAAATATTGAATAATTTTAAATAATTTCAATTTAACATTTTGGATGAATGAAAAGACGCAATTTCTAAACCATTGTTGTTGTAAAACCATAACAACCTTATTAATCATCACTGTCGTAAAAACAACGCTGTGATATTGCGTACACACAAGATATTTGAATGATGGGAATATTTAGCTGCTTACTGAAGAAAAACATTTGTTATGGATTTTATTACGTACTCATTGTGTATATAATAATGTACGTGTTTAGCACCAAGAATCAAAATAATAGATATAACTCATAAAACTTTGATTGGATAATTTTTTCGCTATTAAAAATTTTGTTGAATTTTTATATGTAGGAACTGTTTCCTAACCTTAGTACATATGATGTTTTTATATAATTAAAACGTAGCACAAACCAAGCTCAAACCCTCGGTCCTCAAGAACAACCGTTCAAACCAATAAAGCAAATAAGTCTTGAAAGTTGCAAGTCATAGCATTTCTTATGCCTTAATCAAATACAACTTTTAACAGTTATGAAAAAGTTTTTTTTTTTTTTTTACATTTTATTCAGTTGCGTTGATCCAGAATTTCTCTATAAAATACCTGAGAATACAGTGGTCATTGCACGTTTTCGCCAGTTCTAAAGGCTTGTCAGTAGCACCACAATGGTTGTCGTTGACTACTTGATTGTCAAAGATTCTTACGCAGACAGGACGCCGAAACATTTCACCTGTTATCTCAAAAATAAAACACACGTCAGTTGTTTTAGAGTTACAACACATTAAATAATCAAGTATATTACGGTTTAAATAGCTGGCGAAGCATTTAGAAATAGGTAAGCCTAAAATCTGTGATAAAACCCATTTTAAGTGCAAATGTTTTGTTTTTCTACATACTCTTTATTTTGTCCATTGAAGATTTCAAATCAGAGGTGTGTGTGTAAAAAGACAATTTTAGATCTATCTTTTGTCTCATACAAGTCACTGCCCAAGAAGTCTTTCGTGCAATACCAGAACTCGCTAGTTGAGTTAGGCGACGAGAGACAAAAGATCCCTTGAAACGCTGTTTATAAGACTAATTCTGAGGGTAAAATTTCCAGCAAAAGGCATTTGTATAACAGTTTATAGCTTTTACAACGTGCAAAGATAAAACAATCTCCAAACTTTATTTCTTAATGTTGTCACGTGTATTTCTTAAACATGAAATAGGAAATTGCTTAGAACAAAATGTTTTATTAAATTTATGACATGTAGATTGTTTTTCTAATGATCTCCAGTATGTAACACAAAGTAACATGGTGTTTGATCCACTAACAAACAGTAACACAAAGTAACATGGTGTTTGATCCACTAACAAACAGTAACACAAAGTAACACGATGTTTTATCTACTTACAAGCCAGTATGTAACACAAAGTAACATGGTGTTGGATCCACTAACAAGCTAGTATGTAACACAAAGTAACATGGTGTTGGATACACTAACAAGCTAGTATGTAACACAAAGTAACATGGTGTTGGATCCACTAACAAGCTAGTATGTAACACAAAGTAACGTGGTGTTGGATCCACTAATAAACTAGTAACACAAACTAACATCACTTGTTTTATCCACTAACAAGCTAGTAACACAAAGTAACATCACGATAATGTTTGCCAAACAAACTTCTTGTAACAAAAGTAACATGAAGCTCTCTATTTAAAATCCGCTAAGTATGTATTGTTTGTGATAATGAGAACAGCTCTAAGGAATAATTCTGACTTTAGAAAACTAAAAAATACGTTTCTTTCACCTTCACACAAATGAGAACAGCTTGACCATTTCTCCAGATCCCATCGGTATTTATTTTGATCTCGTAGAGATACGGTGTATTCAAACCGAATGTCAGGCGGACGAAGACTTCCAACAGTAAGAACCTGTAATGAAATGATAAACATAGTTCTCAATCTGACACAAAATCTCTAGAAGACATGTTGCAGAAGGTAAGAACTAACGCAGGTAAATCTGTAGAGATGCTGGGTATTCTGATTTCCCCTTTAGAAGATAATGAGATTTGTCTCCTGATAGAACTAATACAGGTAGGTGTGTCTATTCTGGTTTCCTCTTTTGAAAGATGAGACTTGTCCCCATATAGAACTAACACAGGTAGGTCTGTAGAGATGCTGGGTATTCTGGTTTCCTCTTTTGAAAGTAATAAGATTTGTCTCATGATAGAATTAACATTGGTAGGTCTCTAGAGATGTTGGGTATCCTGGTTTCCTTTTGAAGATAATTATACTTTTCTTCTGATGTGGTGTTCTGGCTTTATACGAAATTGAAAATGGGTCCAGGTTAAACAATAACTAAATCAGAATAGACAGTCTTTGTTGAATCAGCCTCCTGGTGTACGTTATCCAGAAAGTTCTGTCCTGTGTAATTGATGATAGAGGGAAGCCGACCGAAAGTTAAAGATGTAGCAGAAAAGGTGTGTCCTGGAATTACATTCAAATGCTCCTTTTCTTTGACTTTCTTACACTTTACTTACCTGTTCGTTTCAGTGTTACCAGTGAATATCACACCTGTGAATTATTGACCCACTTTCCGTTAAGTTGAAAAGTTAATAACTCAATAAAAAAATGAAACGCAATTCTTTACAACTGACATTCAAACTGAATTTAAAATCATTAAGATTTATAAACCATGATGCAAAAAATTATTAGAATATTACTATACATATCTAAGATGAGTTAAATTCTGTACTAAACATTGAGATTACTTTTAATTCTCATCTCAGAGTCAGTGTTGTAGTTTCTCACCTGAACATACAGTTTCCGCTTTAGTGGTTTCGAAGAGTTTATACGCTCGACCACAGCGATTGATCCGCTGTACTCTAAGGTTGCACCAAAGTACTTTATGGTTTTCTTGAAAGGTGTGACAGTGAAGTTACCGTTCATCAGGTAATTCTGGTTGTGTGACAGAAGAGCTGTAAAAACACACAGAACACCACGTTTACACGCTTCACGTAGCTAAACACACAGAAAATCATTATTGTACACTGCGTCTAGCTACAGACACATATAACACCAGGTTTACAAACTTAATCGAGCTACACATAGAGAACACATTGTTTACACATTTCGCCAAGCTCTAAGTCAAGGCAAAATTCACTTAACTAACACAAAGGACTCTAGGTTTATATGTAGCTTACCCACTTCGCTCGGCTATAAGTCAAGGTTAACATTCACTTAACTAACACACAGGACAATGTTTATACGTTGTTTACACACTTCGCTCAGTTACAAGTGAAATTTAACATTCACTTTACTAATAAACATAACACTATATTTACACACTTCGTCCAGTTATATGTCGAGGCTAACATTTATTTAACTAACACACAGGACACTATGTATACACTTTCTTTACACACTTCTACCAGCTACAAATCAAGACTAACATTCACTTAAATGACACACATAACTCTATGTTTACATAACGTTTACACACTTTGCCCAGCTATATAAGTCAACATTAACATTCACTTAAATAACACACAGAAGACTATCTTAATACATTGTTTACACCCTTCCCCAAGCTATAAGTTACAGCTAACATTCACTTAACTAACACTTAAAAATCTATGTTTACATAGCGTTTACACACTTCGCCTAGCTATAAGTCAAGGCTAACATTCATTTAACTAACACACAAAACGCTATCTTTACACATTGTTTACACACTTCACCCCACTATATGTTGAGACTAACATTCACTTAACTAACACACAAGGCACTGTTTATACGTTGTTCACACACTTCGCCTAGCTATATGTCAAGGCTGACATTGACTTAACTAACACACAGAACATTATGTTTACACACTGTTTATACACTTCACCCAGCTATAATTATAGGTACATGAAATAGTTACCTAAAGAGTTGTCGTTAGGTACATGAAATAGTTACCTAAAGAGTTGTCGTTAGGTACATGGAATAGTTACCTAGAGTTGTCATTAGGTACATGGAATAGTTACCTAGAGTTGTTGTTAAGTACATGGAATAGTTACCTAAATAGTTGTCAATAGGTACATGAAATAGTTATCAATGGTACATGAAATAGTTATCTAAATAGTTGTCATTAGTACATGAAATAGTTATCTAAATAGTTGTCATTAGGTACATGGAATAGTTACCTGAATAGTTGTCATTAGGTACATGGAATAGTTACCTGAATAGTTGTCGTTAGGTACATGAAATAGTTACTTAAGTAGTTGTCGTTAGGTACATGAAATAGTTACTTAAGTAGTTGTCGTTAGGTACATGAAATAGTTACCTAAGTAGTTGTCGTTAGGTACATGAAATAGTTACTTAAGTAGTTGTCGTTAGGTACATGAAATAGTTACTTAAGTAGTTGTCGTTAGGTACATGAAATAGTTACCTAAGTAGTTGTCGTTAGGTACATGAAATAGTTACCTAAGTAGTTGTCGTTAGGTATATGAAATAGTTACCTAAATAGTTGTCGTTAGGTATATGAAATAGTTACCTAAGTAGTTGTCATCCAGATGAGAGTTTTGGTACCCATACTGAAGAATTTCAATGTTAGTTGCTCCAGCTGGAATCATGACGACGGAGTTGTAACCTGGAGTAACAATAACATTTAAAAGATGAACAATGAAACTGTTTTATTGTTTGTTATCTGATACTTAAAAATCAATTCTCGAGTATGTGGCAAAAACCGAATTATCTGTTTTGAAGTAGGAAGGCAGCGGTGTTACAAAATGAAACCGAATGTTAAGAAGGAAGGCAGTGACATTACAAAATGAAACTGAGGGTTAAGAAGGAAGGCAGTGACATTACAAAATTAGATCAAATGTTAAGAAAGAAGGCAGTGACATTACAAAATGAAACCGAATGTTAAGAAGGAAGGCAGTGACATTACAAAATGAAACCGAAGGTAAAGAAGGAAGGCAGTGGCATCACAAAATGAAACCAAATGTTAAAAAGGAAGGCAGTGAAATTACAAAATGAAACCAAAGGTAAAGAAGGAAGGCAGTGACATTACAAAATGAAACCGAATGTTAAGAAGGAAGGCAGTGACATTACAAAATGAAACCGAAGGCAAAGAAGGAAGGCAGTGACATTACAAAATGTAACCGAAGGTAAAGAAGGAAGGCAGTGACATTACAAAATGAAACCGAAGGCAAAGAAGGAAGGCAGTGACATTACAAAATGTAACCGAAGGTAAAGAAGGAAGGCAGTGACATTACAAAATGGAGTTAGATCGTTACTTAAATTTTGAGCATATCTTTAAAAATATACATGTAACTAAATATTAAGACTTTTCTTGGTTTCAGTCATTATTTATCTTTAGATTATGGTTAATTTGACCGAAATGTTATTAAATTCTTCATGTTAACATCCAGTCCACATTTATCTCTCGTTTAACCAAATGTTCATGTGTTATATCTATTGTTGTCTCCCTTCTTCCCAAAGCAGACTGGTGATTGGAAAAACAATTCGGGCACAATTCACAGTAAAATTTATCAGCCCATTTTTTTCTTTAAATTTATTCTTGTATCAAGTTCGGGTTAATAAAGGAAAAGCTTTTAACAACTACACGTCATAAACTGAAAACATAGTTGTATTAACTCATCACACTTGACGTCATTCATTGGAAAACATGGATAATTAAGCTTACCATATTTGACTTCATTGAAGTGTCCATGTACTGTCTTGCAGGTGGAACTGTCACCTCCACATATTCCACAGCGATCTAGTGTTTTGTTTGATCCCAACACACGGTCACAACCAGCATTCTAGAATCAAAAATATTACTCAGTACTTGGACACAACCAATATTTTAATTTACAATACCGTAACCAGTACACGTTCACAACAGCACTATAATTTACAATATTGTAACCAGTACACGTTCACAACAGCACTATAATTTACAATATTGTAACCAGTACAC